CTGAAGTCCGATGGTTAAGTAGAGGACAAGTGCTGAAACGTTTTAATGATATCATATCTGCCATAGTCTAATTTCTCAAACAACGTGATAAACCGATTCCGGAACTGGACAATTCAATCTGGTTTAGAGATTTTGATTTTCTTGTGGATATTACAGAAAAATCAAATGAACTTAATTTACAGCTTCAGTTGCGAGACAAAGAACTAGCAGAAATGATTTCTGGTATAAAAGCGTTTATCAAAACGGGAACAAAACTTAATCGATAGCGATACCAGGCATTTTCCTGTTCTTTTGGGAAACATATCTCAAAGTCCATCAGAACCATATGACAGTAAATATCCTGTAGAAATAGTCTCTAACTTGAAGGATAACTTCAAAAGTCGTTTCAAGGATTTCAACGAAATTGCTATAGTTGCGCAATTTGTTGTTTCACCCTTCAAGGAAATTGATATCCAACATTTTGCAACAGAATTTTAGCGAAGACATCACTGCGAAAGAAATAGAAGTGATTGCGTTTCAAAATGATTTAGCTTTAAAATCATTAGTCTCAAATACAAAATGTATCTGGCCTTCAGTAAGTAAAAATAAATATTCAGTATTATGTCGTGTTGCCTTGAAAGTGAAAGCGTTATTTAGTTCAACCTATTTGTGTGAATCTTCTTTTCCAAATATGAAGTTTATTAAAACAAATATCGTAATCGACTTGTTACATGAACATTTGGATAATTGTATTCGGATAGCGGTATCAAATTATACTTAAAACATTAAAAAAATTGTACGTGACATATTTTGTTGCTTTTATTATTTTTAGTTACCCTCATTAAATCGTATGTGACATGCCATTATAGCTGACGAACAATTCTGTTCAAACACCTACGATTGGTAGGAATGGATGTAGTTATGTAGTATGTATTAGTTATTAGTTTATTTAAGTTTATTAGAATGTATTAGTAAAATAAACACGTGTGTCGCATACAACTGGGTATACTTTCATTTAAGTTGCCTTACATTCTTATGACTAGGTAGCTAACTGCTCATTCCAAAATTACCAAAGTAGCTCAACACACTGAAAAGGTTGGCGACTACTGCCCTAGAAGCTCCCTATTTATGTACTTTTCATCTAGCTGAGCTGTAGGTATGTGGTTCTGAGGGTTGGTCTTAGATCCTTTTTCTGGGACGGGTTGGACATGAGCAAATTTCGAATTCTCTAGGAAAGTACTGGATTTGTAAAATATCTGGAACAGATACGAAAAAACTGGAGTGAGCTCCGCTAGACATTTAATGAATACAATGGCAGCAATCTATTCAGTACTAGAACCTTTGTCGGTATCAAGCGACAAGAGCACCCATCTTACGGTCTTGTGCTTAAAGATTACTTCCCGCATAGTCTAGGGAATCGGCGGCACATGGGTATGGCGGAGCTAGCAGCAAAGATCATGGCAAGCTCTTAGCTCTATCGGTTACAATCGTTTCATCCTGGCAAGAAAGCGGAGGAAGCCTACTATTATAGAAGTTCTCTTTGGTCTGCTTTGCTAGCGTCCAAAAAAATCTACTGCAACTGCTTTGCGACATTGCATTACCCTGTTCCTGATTTTTGCATAATGCTAGTCTTTGACGTTATGAACAGCTTTGTTATGTTTGTTTTTAGACTCGACATCGGCTTGTCTCTCCTCTACACTGGGGTTTCTAAGAAGGTCCAGTGTGGCTTGATTTTCTGTAGTTGTTAGAATCTGGTTTTGTTACTTTCACTGAATAAAGGATGTATCCATGCATCCCAACGTGACTAACTTCAGCTAATGACGAAATGACAGCGGACGTATCCAAGTCATTAAAATAAACATCTATAAAAGGAAAGCTGCAAATAAGCCCCTGAGCCCTTCCCAGTCAGTATGCTCTCATGAATGCACACATCAATTATTTAACTATAATTTTTTTCATTATCATTGATTGCTTAGGGGAAACGTGGGGTTTTCTTATGGGAATGCGGGAAGCAATGGCGATTTCTCAGGTGTGCAGTGAAAAAACCCTTTCATTACCGAGAAGAACTGTGCGACATCCCAATTCTGATTAAACTTTTATATCGGTGGATGATACAGCAGCAGTGGGAGATGTGTTGCTAGTTTCCACAAAAGTTTCTCGTCAGTTTGTTTATTCATGGTGTGGTCCCGGTTGCTTGGAAACGGCAACTTCGTAGCCCTTTCGGCCCACTGCCCTGTTTTATTCACAGCGCTCAACACTCGTGAATAGCCAATGAAGGGGCATCGCGAAGTTTTTGAGGTATTTCGTTTAGTAATTGATTACTTGACGTTTCGATGACAACGCTGCCCTTTTAAATTTGTATTTTCCCAGAATTGACTCTTGAGTGTCCATGGAAGTGGCTCATTATTGTTAAAGTAAGTATTATAGTTATTTTTGCATCTAGGATAAAATTATTTGTATTAGTCAGGATGTGCCTGAGTGATACGTTTGTAATACCACTTGTTTTCTTGAAAGGTGCTCATTTTTTTAGAACCGGTCATGTCACATTATTCATATGAATAATTCACTGGAAAACCTTTAAAGTTTACATAAAGCACTCCATATGATTGTTTTATCGATAGATATGAAGGCTTCCTCATGGATTGGTAAGGCACACAATAATGCATATTTGGTGTAGTGGTTTCGGAAAAAGATAATATTTGTTCACTGTCCCATGCCAAACATGTCTTTGGACTTTCAGGAGATGCATCAGAGTTGTTGCTAATCTAGGGTATAGAGTCTTGTTGGGAAGCTTTTGGTTAGAGTTAAGCGACCTGACATTTCCACGTGTATTTTTTATCCAAGCATATCTCAGTTATACTAAGCAGAATTGATCACAACGTGTGCACAATCGCAGATCTACACAGTTACAATACAAGAAACAAAATATCTAGTTGAAGAATCTGAGACTGACAAGATCTAGAAAATAAACGCAATTACTACAGCATAGCTTTTCATAGGTTGTCAAATAAAATAATGGAATTAGAAACCAGCATATTTATGCGAACCACTGAAAATATTCAATTTCTAAATGTTTCTTTTCATGTAAGGACTACCTCAACAATAATTTTATTTACCTAATGACTTGACATTTTAACATGTCTATTGTTTTAACGTTTTATTGTAACTGTTTCTGCCTAACTGTTTTCTGTACCGTTTTTATATACGCATTTACTGTAGTGGTCACCAGTGGGTACAATTATAACACATATAGCATAAGCTCAGGTGTTCGGCAAGGGTCAAACTTAATCCCACTGCTATTAAATATGTTCATTAATGATTTGGATAACGCAATTGAAATTCAAAAATTGTTTTATGTTGATGATCTTAAAGCCTATTGTAAAATAAGTGCTATAGAAGATTATGGTAGGCTGGAGCTCAGCAAAGCTGATTTATGGTAGGCTAATAATTGATTGTCATTGAATGTTGAAAAGTGTAACGTAGTCACTTTCTCCAGGGAAAAAGCACAAATCTCATGTGAGTACGTTCATTGTATTTATTTGGAGCATCATTTAACCGCTAAAGGCCTACTTAATTCGTAAATCACGTCCATTCATCATACTGATAACTAGCTTGTTGAAGCATACAAAATGTGTGGATTCATCGCTATCATTTAATAGTGAAGCAGCATTAAAATGTCTATTTTTTTCTTACGTACGTTTTAAACTGGACTAATGCCTGATACCCATACTATTAGAGTTTCAATGAAAGACTGGATACACTGTATGAGCAAAAATGAAAATTCGAAAAGTAACAAATAAGATAAAAGCTTAGTGGTGTAAGTTTTTTTTATACAAAATTCAGCACTCCAAATTTCAAAATAGCGGAGCGAGGGGTCGCCGAAGTGGACGGTTCATCTTCAATATTTTCATTCACGAAAAACTTGAGAACAATGCGTTATGCACCCGCGGGGTGTACGTACATTTTTTTCGCTCATAGAGAAAGTCTAGAATTCATAGAAGAATGAATTTAGATTATCTTAACGGTCTGAGTCTCCACATCGTGACATTAGCTTTACTATCAGAGACCAGAATAAAATAAGTTTTAGGAAGCAGTGACTGAGGCATAAAAAAAGTTTAGAGAAAACTTGCTTACCTGTTTAGAAACTTGCTCTGCCCCATTTGCTAGGAAATGTTTCTGCATGATATTCGGTGCTATAAGTTGTCTGAAACAAAAAAATATGATCAGCCTTTTTTCAGTTATCCTTTTACTACCAGTGCTATTATAATAGTCATTCAGTTTAAGAAATCGCTCATTTGAACAAAGTATTGCCAGATCTAAGATAACGCAATGCGTTAGATTCTTTTTAAAGCAAGTTATATCATTGCTACTTTATTTTTGTCCCAGATTATCAGTGAATATCTCATTGAAAACGTATTCTGAATTGAAATTTCCCTCTGCCTTTAAAACCAAGCAGTGCTATCCAATTTCAGAAACGGCTTTGCCTCTTTAATATACGAGTTTTAGGCCAATTGCAAATATCCCGGCATCTTGGATTTTAACGAATCCCTCTGCACCTGGTTGTTATGATACGCTTCTTTGTAGAATGATACTGGATTATTCCATTTCGGGAGATTTAGCGTGATATAACGAATTAAGAAAGTGGGGCAAACATAAAATATATACTTTTTTGAATGAGCTCAAATCATAGGGACTCAACCCAACAATCAAAATAATTTACTTTTCTGCATTTGTATACCAACCTGTTTGCATTCAATAATTCGGATACCCTATTTCCAAGGGATTGGATTTTGATTGTTGAAAATGTATCACAACCAACATATAGTCAACGCCAAACAAAGTGGCGTGCACGTCATCAAGGTGGGTGTGTTGAAAAATTTACATTGTTGCCAAACTTTTTGTAAAATAATAAAATTTATTATTTGCATATCTAGGTTTATAAGCAATATTAACCTCAAATGAGAACAAAAATAATAGTATAATAAAATTATAGATCTGTACTTGGATAATCATTAAGTAAGACAATTATTGATCAGATGACACTATGAAACTACCATATTTAATTGATAGCTTAAAGGTACTGAATAAAAATCCAAATGGGGTCCTCCAAATTTTATGCATGGTATTTATTTTACAGAATTCATACAGAAAAATGCATTCTAAAATTAGGTAAGCTACTGGTGTAAGCTTTTTCTGTACAATAAAGTTAGTCGGAGTTTCTTTCTTCAGCGCTGTCTGAATCTGAATCTTCATCACTCTCAAAGTTGATTATTAAAGGTTCGATGTCTGGTCGATCAAAAATTCGTTCTCTTTCATACCATTTAAAAATTTCTTGCTCAGTATGTCGAACACTATTTTTCCACATGTCTGGGGTAACCGTTTGTAGAGCCTCGTTCCACATATCCAAACAGTCTTTTTCACTGTTACCATCTCTACCAATATGTCTGTTATAGTAACCTTTTGCTATGCCCCAAATTAACTCAATAGGGTTAAATATACAATGATAAGGAGGCAGACGAAGAACTTTGTGCCCATGTTGTTCCGCCAATTCATCAATCACGTATATTTTAGGTGGTTTGTTTCTAAAAAAGCAGTTATTTTAAGAATAGGAATAAACAAAAGAAATATAAACTGTCGACCAAAATATATATAATTAAGAAGCATTATGTACCGAGCAACAATACTCAATAGCTCTGTTTTAAACATTGTGTTTAAAAATGGTATGTTTTGATTTGTCAACCAGTCTTGGATATTTTTTTTTGTCCATGCATTGTTGGGCACTTTGTTCAATATCATGCTGTGATAAGGGGCGTTATCCAGTATAATCATAGATGGACTCTCCAATTTTTCTAATAACTGATGTTGAAACCATTTCAAAAAATTGTCCTGGTTCATCTCTCCATGGTAATCGCTCAATTTTGTTTTCGAAGAAAATATCGCTTCACTACCCTCAATAAACCCATTTTCATTTCCAGCATGTAATATAATGTGTCTAAAATATATTAGTTTTAAATTTTATAGTGCAAATTGTGTAAAAGTACATACCTTTTACCATCTGTTTTAATAGCTTTCACGCTTTTTTGGTTTCCATTTTGCCAAGAGCGACCTATGGTCCCATTTTGAAATATCCAAGTTTCATCGAGGAAGACAAACTGGTATAAGGCCTCAACCTTGGCTTGATTGTATTGCCTTAGAAATTCCACCCTTTTCAAAGCTATACTTGGTAGTTCCATGAGCCCTCGTCGCGGATTGTCCTTAAGCCACTTAAATCCATGATCTCTAAGCAACCGCCTTAAAGACGTGGCACTACCATCAAATAATGCCTTATCTCTTAATCGAGACCATAAAGTTTGTATCGTAACTTGTTCTTCTGAAACCATGTGTAATATGACATTATAATTTAGTTAACAAATTAATGCAAATTTCTGATAAGTTATTATAATAAGATCTTACTTTTGTGATACATATTATAGATCACTTCTCGAATGGCACTTGTATCCAATGTCGCTGTGTTGGTTACACGTTTAATATAACTCCGCTTTTTCTTGGGCGATTCTAAATTTGCATCACTTTTCACACCCTCGGAAATACGACTGACTGTCCTTAAACTAATTTTTAAAGCAGCAGCAACACGCTACATAAAATGAAATAAAATTTCACTATTATTAATATACATTACATATAATTATTAGTAACCTACCTCTTGAACAGCACTTAAAGGCAACAAAGGCCCGTTGTTGTCCCTTTCTTGCTCAAAGTAGTGCATTAACGAGGCCACGAGTTCCTTACACCGACTATTTAACTGTTTGGGCATCTTTATATACCAAAATTGCCTTTATCTACTCGTAAAATGAATAATTTTGTTTTGAAACAAACAGTTGTTGATTTACAGTATGCGGTGCCAAAGGATTTATAAAGATTTGAAATGCCACAAATTGATTCAGTGTCAAAATTAATACAAATGTCAGTTCCCAGTTTAAATAAGTTTCAAGGTGACAATGTGTCAACGCTGCGAAATCGGTTTAGTGCGTTTACATGTCGATAAGTGATTGGAGCGTTTGCAAAACATTTTATTTCGCATAATGCGTCTAAATTTATCAGAAAGCAACTTATGTGATATTTTAATAACAATGTTTAATGACTATTAACCATAATAAGAGAGTAATGACCATTTTACAATTTATATATTAATATGAAACTGCAATAGAGCAATTGTTTGTGATAGAAACCTAGGCATTAGGTCGGGGAATTTTTATCGTGATGACGTGCACGCCACTTTGTTTGGCGTTGACTATACTAGACTTTTTCCTAACCGGCACGTTCAACTAGCCGCCTTCGTGATATTCAGCCGCTTAATAAAACGGATACGGGAATGATTTGGATCGATAACATTTAGCTACTTGCTTAGGCTTGTCATTCAAATTTCGCTCAACCTCACGTGTTTTAGGCGATATGCAGAAAGCTTGATATATGCTTTCTACCAGCTTTTCCTCTCCGAAGTGTAAGATTCACCGAAAAAGTCCCAGCCATTCGCTACGCATCTAGCCACGGAAGGGCATTGCGTCATGGTGGGTAGCGTTGCACTAAAATGTATGCCAAAGGTATCTGTCTTAATCCGTTATCGCTCTCTGCACATACGCTGGCAGGTATATTCAACAGTTATCATTATTAGTGGTTTCACTGTTGGCTTTTCTCATCACATACCTTGCTCAGCATCATTCGTTTCACCAGTGGTCGCATTCCAACTTATTTGCCCCCTCTCCATGTTTGGCAAAATCCGAGTAGATGCTCAGGAGTATCCTCCTTGACAAAGCAATACGTGAATTCTCTCTTTCCTATTCGCTTTAGGCAGCTTCCAAAGCAACCATGTCCCATGAGGAGCTATGCAGTATAGTAATCTATCTGCATTGCTCCCCTGTGAATACAGAGCTTAATGCATGGAATCGGTATTCTAGACCATGGTAAATGGCTGCTCGTAGCCCATTTTCGCTGCCTCTTAATATATAAGGCACACTTTTACCATTCCTATCTGCTACACCCTTCTTGTAGAATGTACGTCATTCATCAGCGTGCAAATCTATTAGCGGGATTCCAGCCACCACCAGCACCACCTCCGTTGACACCCTTCTATACGCGATCTGTAGGTGAGGCGAAGTACTGCCTTTCGCTGGTACTTGAGTATCAATTGCCTACATTTATTTTTTCTTAAGGCCCCAAACAGCATTAAGCCATTTTCCTTCATTACTTAAAATCAGCATAACTGAAACCAAAGCCATATGAGGGAAGCTAATATCCTCAGGCTAAGTTAGGTTAAATGGATTTATAACCTGGACGACAGATGTATGTAAATATTATTAAATTAATCAATTAAACAATGTATAATGCCAGATATTATAACTTTTACCCTATCATCTTCTATTTTATGAAAGGCCTTAGCATCTGTCTTTCACTTCACTAAGGTCAAATTAATTGATCCTGTGCTCAAAAGTTGCACCTATGACATACATTTAACCAATGAGAATGCGTTTTTGAAGTAAATAAGGTCGATTTCCTGTAAAAAAAACTAGAGAAAAGTTATACGATTTGTATAAGATGGGTCCCTAATTCCCATATAAGGTCAAGGAATACTTCATAAATCACCTGGATTAGCTACAAAGCTACTTTTTCATGTGGGCCTAGGTACAATGGGCACAAAATCCACCAATCAAAAACAAGGATTTGGGTCATACTCGGAGCGAGGACTAAATGTGATATAATAATGATATGACAGCAATTATTGAGCATTTTACAGAAAATACGTGTCTCTACTATTTATATATTTTGAACAATTCATCAACATGTCTATTGAGTTACTATATAATGTCGTTTGTAGATAAACCACTGTTTTCCGCTATGACTTTCACACTGCCTGGGTACGGGCGATATTGCGATATTTATTTGTAGGATAAATATTTGCAACTATAATAGAGGTATGTACGAATGCTTGCAAATAACGTATGTTCCTTTGTTAATAAATCTGTTTATATTAATTGTTTGGAAAAAGTTCTGCGAAAAGTTTTAAAAAAACAATTTGTCAATGATCCCAAACATGACTTTTTCAGTGTGTTGAGCTACTTTGATAATTTTGGAATAAACAATGAGCTACCTAGTCGTAACACATACTAAAAAAATGTAAACTAATAAATAATACATACTAAATAGCTACATCCATACCTACCAATCGTAGGCGTTTGAAAAATAAACAAAAATTTTTGTCAGCTACAATGGTATGTCACATACGATTTAATAAAGTTAACTGAAAATAAATAAAGCAACGTACTATTTTAAACAAAAACATGTCCAGATAAAAAATGCGTGTTCAGTGAGAAGCCTGACACTAAGACTCACTGACAATTTTTTTAATGTTTGGAGTATAATTATTATATATACCGCCATTCGAATAGAATGTTCATCTGTAAGTCGATTCCGATATTTGTTTTTAATAAACTTCATCAAATCGAACTAAATAATGCTTTCACTTTCAAGGTAACACGACAACAAACTGAATATTTATCTTTACTTACTGAAGCCACATACATTTTGTATTTGAGACTAATGATTTTAAACCTAAATCATTTTAAACCACAATCACTTCCATGTTATCGCTGAAATCTGGGCTAAAACCTAAACACGAGAAAAAACGATACATGAACACAAAGTGTTTCTGTATTTTACCGTTAGATACTCAAACTGATACTTCCTTCAATGGTATTTTGATTTATCTCTACAGTTTTGCTATTCTAGATTCATCAGCAGCACCTAAACTTTAGTACTTTATATCTCGGAAACGTTATTTACACTTGGACCAAAAATATGACACTGTTATTATGAATAAAATGGTCAGTATTTTGATTGGTGGGCTTCGTGAGCATCGCAGCAAACTTTGTGCCTCTTTTTTAACTCCAGCTACCACAAAGGCCTAAGGCCTAAACACCCATGGGGTACGGTGAGGCTGTAGGGGAATAAAGGGGAAATGGGGGCACGCCACACGGACTCTGGCG